GTTGCAAGGCACAACTCAAGGCTACAGTATTAATATTCTGATTTCTACTCACTGACATTTGGCCGCGAGGTTCGAATTGAGGGTGTTGTGCACACGCAGCCGCGGGCGTGGGGCTGAGGGGCCCATTTTGAGAGTGGTTCCACAACGCGTCACTGACAGCACCAGTGTATTTGTCCCTCCAGCAGCTCCCACGAGTTCCATGAGCCGGCTCTGCTTATGCTTACAGGACTTGGGCATAACACCTGTGTGCATATGCATTTGTAGGCCATGTTGGCCCTGACAGCCATTGCGAGACGGTTGCGCAACACGCCCGCCGATTTTTCGCCGCCAATGTCGGCACTCCCCGTGGCCATTTGGCGCTTAGTGACGCTCAGCCTCAGCTCTCTCGATACTTTCCGTAACTTTTGAGGATCTTTCAAGCACTCACTCCATTCTCGCTGCTCACTTCATCAGCGGCAAGCCCGCGCACAGTCTCTGACTGGCAAAATCCGAGACGGGGGTACCCGTATTCGCTTTGACAACTGGTAAGATGTTGATTGATCCGGTGCGGGAGGCTCGCAGGGGCCCCAGCGTATGCATATGAGCGTTGCAGCCTCTTGCATAGCGCGCTCTCCGATTGGCCCCGGTACCTCCGCACTCTTCTATATTTGAAACTTTCGGCTCATAGGATGGCTGCACTCACATGACGGGTGCCCATTGCAACGATCCCGGCAGGATCGCTTGCGCCCCACTGAAGTGAACACGCATGCGCACCGCTCCCTGCGCGCAGCCGCTGCCTGTTGGATGGGCCTTACCCCCAGCCCCAGGCGACTCAGCCTCGACGACACTTGGCCGCGCCGCGACGCCAACGGCGCGCTGGGCGCGGCGCTCGACATCGGCAGCCTGTGCGGCCACGCGGCGCCGGCCGCGGCGTTTCTGGATGCCCTTCCCGACGGCGTGCTGCAGTCGCACCTGCTGCCGGCGCTGAGCGCGGCAGAAAAGCAGGCGCTCAGGTGCGACCGGAGGGGGGCGGGTGTAAGCTGTGTAGCTGCACCGCGTGGACGCGACGCGACACCTGCCGTTGCTCTGATACATGAGCTCGCCCCAGCAGCTTGTCGGAACCGAATCGCAAGTTGCATCCAGCCCTTCCTGGCTTCGCAACCCGCGCCTCCGCCCGCCTGCAGGGCGACCCACCCGCACGCGCGCGAGCTGCTCAACGCCGCCGTCACCCGCATCCGCGTCGCCGCGGGCGACCTGCTGCCGCCCGACCGCCCCAACGCTGCAGCGCCGCAGCTGGGGCGGCGGTTCCCGGCACTGCGCGCGGTCGAGGCTTTTGATTGCAGCGATGCACCTGTGTTCGACGAGGCGCTCATCTCATTCCTGCAGAGCGCCGGCGCCGAGGTGGGCGGAGGCCTGGGCGCTCATCGCATTCACGCTCGGCCATAATTAGCACCAGCGGCATCAGCAGGATCACCTGGGCGTCGTAGTTAGTCGCTGCTGCCGCTGCGCTAGCTCAGCCCGCTGTGGCGCAATAGTGAAGGGGACAACCAGCACGCCACCAATTATTGGCCGGCGGCCTGCATTGCATGCACCCCCTGCTTTTGCGCACATGGGCCTTATAAGCCCCCCCCACTGCACCCCGCCTTCCCGCGCGCAGCTGCTGGCGCAGCTCGTCGAATTCGATGTGAAGCGATGCCACTACGTGGGCCGCGGCCTGCTGGACTTCCTTCGCGCCGCATGCCCCCGCCTGGCGCGCCTGTCAGCCAGCAAGTGTGTGCAGTACAGTTCGCACGCGCTCGCTTTGGCAAGCAGGCGTCACGTTGCGGCCGGGTTGCTGCCGTGGCGCGGAGCGCACGCGGGTTTTCGTGGCTGCAGGGATGCAGCAGGCAAACCTGCCCTCCGCAGACGGGGCCGCGTCAAGCCTTTCTTCAAGACCTCCAGGCTCCCCCCTCGCCGAGCGGCGAGCGTTGTTACCGTATGCCGTATCCAAACCCGCTCTGAAGAAACAATACACCTGAACTGTGAACCCGTTCTGAACCCGTGGTCGCGCACCCCGACCCCTCCTGCACGCTCCCCCCCCAGGTGGACGGACAACGTGACGCTCCACGCCATCGGCCGCCTGTCGGCGCTGCAGGAGCTCGACCTAGGGGAGTCTGACGCCCTCGACGACACGGGCCTGCTGCCCCTGCGCCACCTGACCGCGCTGCGCGTGCTGGGGCTGCAGCGCTGCCGCTGGATCGGGGACGCCGGCTGCCGCGCGCTCGCGCAGGTGGGGGTCGGTCTGCGGACCCTGGCAGATGCGAGAGGGAGAGAGGAAGCACTCTGGCTAACGCTGATGCTGATGCTGCGTCGCTCGAACCCGTCTGTTGGGCGCCCCTCAGCCGTGTTCACATGTCTGGGATGTTTGAGTCGGTGGGTGTAGGCGCCTGGCTGTTCTTGGATGCTGTGAGCTGAAGTCAGCGGTCGGCACAATTGCCAGGCACACCCGACAAACCCGACCAACCCGGACAACCCCCTTTTGCTGCGCACCACCCCCGCCAGATCACCTCCCTGGAGGAACTCAACCTGTCAGCCACAGACGTCGGGGCCCTCGGCGTGGCCGAGCTCTCCGTGCTGCCCCGCCTCCGCCGCCTCGACCTGTCGGGGTCGCGCCGCGTCGACGACGACGCGCTGGCGGCCGTGGCGGGGGCGGGCGCGCTGGAGGTGCTGGGGCTGCGCAACACGGAGGTGCACAACGAGGGGCTGGCCTGGCTGGGGTCGCTGGCGCGGCTGAGGAGCCTGGATTTGGGGTCGAGGTTTGAGCTGGATGACTCCGGCCTGGAGTGCCTGGCAGGTGCAGGGGCGGCGGCAGGGAGGCGGGCGGGTGCGGCTGGGTGGATTGGACGACAGGTGTTGGTGCCTGTGGGGGTTCGGGGCGAGGGAAGGGCAAGGTGTGTGCAGCGACCAGGCTCAGCCTCACGCCAGCCTGAGACGGGCTGGCGCGGCCCGCAGCAGGTGGCTGCTTTTGGCGCCGCGTCGCAACCCCCGGCCCCTCACTCGGCCGCCCCGGCCCACCCCGCGCCCCGCACCCCCAGCCTGCGGCGCGCTGCGCTCTCTGACCGCGGGCAGCTTCAACCTCACCCGCAAGCCGCCGCCCGGGTTTGGCGCCAGCCTGGAGCGCCTGACGTTTGGCGGGGGCTTTGCCAACAAGAACCTGGACCTGCTGTTCCCCCTGCCACGCCTGCGCTCGCTGCACGCCACGGTGGGTTTGTGAGCCCAGCTTTGGCCTCGAACCGGCGGCCTGGGCTCGGGGCCTGCGGCGCCGCCATTGCAACCCTCAGGGCAGCCAGAGTCTGGGGTCCTGGGGTGAGGCTTTCGGAGACAGGGGCCTCTGGGTGGCCTGATGCGCTCACGCTCTCAGGACTCAGGCACTGTCGAACATCTACAGGTTCAGCGCCGCCGCGTTTGACTGCGCTGCCGCCGCCATTCGTGAACGCTGCCTCACCACCTCCACCGCAGGGCATCGACACCGTCACCGACCGGGTGATGCGCACTGTCAGCAGCCAGACCTCCCTGGAGGAGCTCTCGCTGCGCAGGTGGGGCCGCCTGCCTGGAGTGACGGCCGCGTTGAGCGGGGCAGGCTGACATAATGCTGGGGGCCTGCTGCCCGGGCCGATGGGGCGTGTCATTCGGGGCTTACTACTCGGGGCTCTCAGCTGCACAAAGATATGGCTCTATGCTGGTCTGCGTACCAGGGCCCCGCCAACCCTCTGGTACCCGGGTCGCCAGAGGCCCCTGACACACACCCTGCCACCGCCTCTCACTGCCTTTCCACGCCACCTTTCCACACCGACCGCAGCGGGTACTCCCTGACGCGGGACGGCCTCATGACGCTCCACAGCCTGGCCAACCTGTCGGCGCTGTCCGTGTCGTCCTGCCCCGCCATCAACGACAACGTCCTGGCCGCCTTCGCAGACCGCCGCACCGCGGCGCGCGCAGGGGCCACCGGCGGCGCCGCCGCGGGGGCGGCGCCGGTGGCGTGCGGCCCCTTGTGCGCGGCGGCGTGACGGCCGGAACAGGGGGCACGGAAGGCGAAGGGCACTCGCAGCGGGGCTCGGTAGGGCTGTAGGCCCTGGTGTGGCCATGGCGCTGCCTGTGGCGTTGCTTTGTTGGCTTCGCTTCTTGACGCTCGCCCAGTGCTGCCTTGCGGTGGTGCTGCTGATGTGCGCCTTGCCCATTTCGGCCGGTCATACATCAGGCTTGCACTTTCAAGGTCACCCAACACATACACGTGTGATCCAGCGCGCATGTGCTCACACCAGCGCTGCTCGCCCATGCCCACAAGGGCAGCCAAGGCAGAGCGCCTGGTCCTGTGGTCATGTTGCAGAGACCCGCACGTCCGCTACGGCACGAGCATGCTCAGTTGTCCGTTCCGCGGCGGATTCGTGGCGGCATGCGTTGCGGGCCTCTCGCGGTGCAAGCGCTTCTGCCTGCGCTCGTCAGCCTATGCCTGTCGTGTTCACCTTCTTTTTGTCGATCGTTCAGCCGTGAAGCATGCGTGCGCCCTCCTGCCCTGCACCATCCAACTACATCAAATGCTGAAGCGTGTGCTTTTTCGTCAAACGCATGGCGCACTCTGCTCCAGCCTGAGGCGGGTGGCAGTGGCATGCTGTGGACGCTTCGCTGTGTGCGATGTGATATTCTTCTTTCGATTCAATGCGCAGTCACATACGCGGGCGCACAGAGCGCCGTCTTGCCGCCCCCTTCCACATCGCAAGCGGCCCAAGCGGTCTGCTGTGGGGTGTCGCGTGGTTTGAGCTCGTCGTTGTTTTTCTTTTGAAGGAGCCCAAACTTTCCAGGGCCCTGTTGCCCCTAGATTGCACCATTTACGAGGAATGCCCGCAACCATGAGCAAAGCACGCCGCTTCCCAAATTGCCGTACTTCCTGAGTGTCATCGGCGCAACTCTGTACACTAGCACTTGCCCTTTCGCAACGCCTCTACCGCGCCCATGTGACTCCGTGCTGCAGCGTCAATCGCCGTGCGCTGCACCCTTCGCTCTTCACTTGCGCCTGTCCAGGGCGTATGTCACGCTTATCGAAGCTGCATGATGCGGGCGTGCGGGGTTGGGCATCCCGCGCACAGCATCAACAGCGCCTCTTTTCGCACCCGGCCGCCCCAGGGTTGGGCATTCTGGGAACGGCCGAGCGCTGGGGAGAGCTTTTAGGGGCAAGAGTGAGGCAAGGCCAAAAATGGGAGCTCAGGCCGCGAGGCTGGAGTTTCCAAGGGGAGGAGGTGAATCATGCGCAGGGGTTTTTGCCTGCGAGGGAGAGAGCTTGGCCATGATTGCACCAGCTTGTCCGTATGCGTGAGACTTTGATGTGTTTGTGAGCCAAACGGCGTGTCCCCTGGGACCCCGGCAGCGATGCACGACTATATGCACGGAGAAATGGGTTTAGGCGCCTCTTGTCCCCGTCTGCTATGCGGAGAGCACTGCCGCTGGACAGCAGCGCGGCCGCCGACGCCTCCCGTGCGCGCGCTCCATAACCCCTTGCATTTTTGTGCACGCACACTCGTCGAGCGGTAGGGCATCGCTTGACGTTTGGCACATGCATGCGTACCACGCAACAGACTGTTTTTGCGCCGCGGCAAACAAACCCGCTGATCACTACCACTGAAGGGCTTGAGCAGTGTGACAGGTCCCTCGCCTGCCATGGTGTCTTGGGGCTCCACCTGTAGGGCCCAGGCGCATGGCTCTAGGGCGGTCCGTGGCCCCCTCTGCTCCATCGCTTGCTGCCTGCTCCAACTCATCCAACCATTCTAGAAACTAACCACTAATGAAGTCGTGCCTTGCGCTGGCTTGTTGCTGCCCGCTGACCTGCAGCCCTCGGCACGGCTCTGCAATGCAGGGGAGAGGTTGCAGGGTGGTCGTGCTGCCTGCTGCTGCGACCTTTGAAGGACGCGTGCATGCATCGCTTTCAGCAGGGTGAGGCCCATACAGCTCCTCCGCCATGCCCGCTGTGAGTGTAATAATGCTGTCATACGTCACACGAATGACACATAAACGCATGCGGTAAGCGGCTCCAGCAGCGCGTCATATGGACTGCAACGGCACGCACGGTGACGCGTCACTTTCAAGCGTGTGAACATGACACGCGCGCATGCACAGCCAGCGATGTCCTGTTGTACAGTATCCGTCATGAATAATTGCTTTTTGTGATTCCACCACACTTGGACACAATGTCGCTTTCCAATGGCTCAGGGTGCTTGCAGGCAGCAACGGATGGTTGTGGTCTCTGGTCAGTCACGGTGCCGGTGGTGCGGGGGGCGGGGGTGTAGCTGAAGCTCAGAGTGATGCAATTGAGCAGCTGCCCACGTTGGCAGGCAAGTAAGCACTGTTTCTTCTTGAAATGCCCCAGCCTTGCTAACACATGCAAACAGTCAACTAGTGCTGAGCAGCTACACGAGGCCTCACCCACTCAGATCAGCAGTGTCTTGTCTCAGCGGGTATGAGCACCACGGTGCAGGCACCTCAAATGCTGGTCTGCACATGTGCACCCCCACCGCCATCCAGCACCCTTCAATGCAAAGAAGCCGCACAGATAAACAGCTCGCGGGGCGAGGTGCTGGGAGCTGAGGCAGCACGAGCAGTTCAGCGGGGATGCAGCTCGACGGCCCCGACGCAACAGCAGCGGTCTGCACGGCTTCAGTCAATACTGGTCGACGGCTGGCGCACGTTCAAGCACGCAAGCACAGTACCATACGGTACTGCATCGTCACACGGCAACTGTCACCACCGATCTCACGGGTGAGTTGCGGGTGAATGGGTTGAATTTGCTTCAAGAAGCTGAACGTGTACTTGTGCACGTTAGATTCGCGATCACCGTCCAGCGCGTGCCTCGCTGGTCGATACAAATTGCGAGGACACACTGACAATTGAGACTTTCGCCCCTCGTGGCTTGCGTAGTGAGCGTACGGCCGATGTATATTGTCTTACTTAGACAGCTTTGCTACTGCAACCGCGATATTATCAGATCGCTTGACCTGGTCAAGCCGCATATCACCTAAGCACCGTCCACATGGCATGGATGGAGCCAAGTTTCAGAAGATCACTGTGGCTGAATGCTTTTGTGATCAGCTGCTGACCAGTGAGCTGCCAAGGGCATCGATCTGCGTGCTGTCAGTGCTGCCAGCTCCGCCCCGGCTGCTGCTGCTGCTGCTGCTGCTGCTGCTGCTGCTGCTGCTGCTGCTGCTGCTGCTGCTGCTGCCGCCGCCGCTGCTTGCTATTTCTGCAGTGCTCTGCTGTGGCTGCTGCAGCATCTGTTTGTCAGCAGCCTAGACAACACACAGCACGTATCCAGCTTCGGACCCCTCCGCTCGTATGTGCAGCCCGCAGCTGAGACCAGCGATGGCGGCACACTTGATTGCCCGCGACAATGTCGCCGGCACAGCCAGCAGCGCGCCCTCGGCCCGCGGCAGTTGTGGTTTCACATGGAGGGCGCTGACTGCGCCGCTGCGGCGCCTGTTGGCAAGCAACAAAGTTGGCAATGTCACCAGCGGTGGCAGCAGCACAACACCGGTGGCGGCGTTGGCGGCGAAGGCAGCGGCGAGCGACCCCTTTGACGGCGTCGGTTGCTCGCGGTCGTTCTTCCTCATGGGCCGCAGCAACCCCCTGCGTCGTGCAGCGCTGATTGTCGCCCACAGCCGTGCATTTGACGCCGCCATCATCGCCGCGATAGCCGCCAACTGTGTGTGCCTGGCGGCGAGCAGCAGCGCGCCGGGATTCGACGCGTCCCCGCTCGGCGTGGCCCTGGCGGAGGCGGACATTGCCTTTCTGGCCGTATTTGGCGCTGAAATGCTGGTCAAGTGGGTGGCGCTCGGCGTATTTGCGGCCCCAGGGACCTACTTCCGGGACGGTGAGCTCACGAGCCGCAGAAGCAGGCGGGGGAAGCGATGCGCGGCTGTTTGCGGGCGGCGCGGCTGCAGGGCTCGTGGTCCCACACCAGCTCAACATCCGCGGGCGCCTGAGTGCCAGCAGCAGCAGCACCACCACCACCACCACCAGCAGCAGCAGCAGCAGCAGCAGCAGCAGCAGCAGCAGCAGCAGCAGAGTGGTGCAGGAGCCAAGGCATCCGCCCACCGTTGCTGCCTCGCGTTTGCCGTGCGCACCCCCGGCCACAGGCTGGAATGTGCTTGACGCCGCGGTCGTGCTGCTGGGCCTGCTGGAGCAGGCGGGGCTGGGCAACTACACCGCGCTGAGGGCGGTGCGCGTGCTGCGGCCGCTGCGCACTGTGACCAAGATACCAGGCCTTAGGGTGAGCGGGGCCCTGCTGGGCGCGCACCGCGCAAGCGCAGCCGCAGCAAAGCCCTCCGCATGCTGGGTGTGCAGGCGCGCAGGGTCAGCTTTGATGCCACCACTCATTCGCGAGCGTCACGCGAGCCCCGATTCCAAATAGCAGCTGATCTCCAACGCAGTGCTCGCAGCCACCGCGATCGCGCCTCCGCACGCCTGTGCACAACCGCGGCCCCGAACCCCTCACCCCAGGCGCCGGTGCTGGCTCTGCTGCGGTCCCTGCCCATGCTGATGGACGTGATGCTGCTGTGCCTGTTCATGTTCTTCATGTTTGGGGTGGTGGCGCTGCAGCTGTTTTCGGGGGCGCTCAGGAACAGGTGGCGGGGGTGCGTGTGCGTATGTATTGGGGG